AATTGGTCATGTGACCACCCTCCCAATGCCCCATTGGATGGACCATAATATGACCTAGGGAATGAGATATTTATTGAAATTGCACAACATTAATTATGAAAAGTACAATGAAAGCATCCAATATTCCTAATGAAATATTCAATGAAAGCCCACAGCATTAATTATGAAAGAGGCAATGAATACACCTGACCTAGGGAATGAGATATTTATTGAAATTGCTCAACATTAATTATGAAAAGTACAATGAAAGCATCCAATATTCCTAATGAAATATTCAATGAAAGCCCACAGCATTAATTATGAAAAAGGCAATGAATACACCTAACCCAGTGAATGAAATACCTATTGAAAGTGCACAGGTTTAATCATGAAAAGTACAATGAAAGAACTGAACAGCTTCAATGAAAAATTCATAGAAAGTGCATGATAATAATTATGAAAGCTTTTATGAAAGCTCCTAAGAAATGTTATGAAAGGGTCCTGTGGTCTTTGCCTACATTTTATGAAAAGAACATAGCCTTTATGAGAAAGAATGACACAGGACACACCTATGAAAGGCCTTTCATAAAACTTGTGGACTTATACACACAGCTCTACAGGCAAGTGCCTTAGTTTTATGATAAAGATGGTAGCCACTTGTGAACGACGGCCACAAACAAAAACAGACGACGACGCGCTGAGGTGAGCAAACTCACCTCCCCTGCATCACTGATCTCTTCAACACAGAATATGGGTGCCATGTCGTCATTGTTTATTTGAGGTGACTACGGTGTGTACCCCCATCCCATGTTCGTTACAACCCACCATGCTGAGACACAGGACAATGATGTAACGACGACATCGGACTACTCGTCCATGGGCAGGGTATATCCACTTGACAGCAAACTACAACAGCAAACAATGATGGCAAATGATGACAGACGACGATGACAATCATCGACGTTGTCCCTCCACAGCGAGACACGACACAATGACCACGATGCGACTCCCACCACGTTGCGACAATGACACACGACACGACAATGACCACACAGCACCATGACCACCAGGCTACCATGGAACACCACAACCACAACGTAACACCATGACAATGATAACCACGACACGGCAGCAAAACGGAACACCAACACAGTGGACGGTGACAAAGACGATGATGGACGTGGCAGACAACCACACAGCACCACAACCAGGCCACTATTCATAACCACAATCACGACG